GAGATTTGGGCCAGTTCTATCCACAAGCCTTAGGCCCAGCGCGTCTCCCTTCCCCCTCTGCCTTGTTTTTTTTCTTTCAGCAAAACAATAACCCTTTTTGGGCCTAGCACCCTCCAAATTCTTTAAACCCATTTTCTTCCTTTTTTTAATTTGTTGTTATTTGTTTTGAAAATTACTAATATTATTTTTTTGCACATTTTTTTTAGTCTTAAGAATCAATTTTCATTATTTTCTTTTTATAACTTTTTATTAATTTGTAACATTTAATAAAAACACCAAAAAATCAAGATTTAGTTTAATTAATTTTCTTTCTTTAAACTTTTCCTTTTAAATTAATAAAATACATAAAAGAATAATAATAATAATAAAAATTTAATCTTTTTTAGAATAGATTTTTATTTATCTCTTTTCTAGCAAATACATACATTTCATACTTTATCGATTTTATTTTCGTAAATTTTCTTAGCTTTATATTGAATCGCACAACAATTCGATTTGGTTGTAATATTTGGACATTGTTGTTTGTTATGTGACTCATCCCCATTTGTAATAATTGTACCCCCATTCACAGATACTTTTGTAATAGCTTAGACTTTTAATTCCCGCAATTTATTGCTTTCTATATACTGTGTAGTAATTAGGCATGTATGGCAAGATTCAAAAATCAATCGCTAGATGACCTAATCCAAGAATAAATAACTTGAAATCAACACACTTCTCACACGCGCACCTCTAGGGTAACCTTGCTTGTTGCCTCGGAAATACAATCATGTCCCTCGAATATGAGACACTCTAGCAAATGACCCTTCGATAAACAAAGATCGTAGTCCCTCGATGACCCTCGATGTTGCCTTCAATAAAACGATCTCGTCCCTTATAAAATTGCTAGAGCGTCTCACAAGTTGCCTTCAATGATTGTAAAATTGACCCGCGTCTGTCCCTTCATCTCCAAGGATGGGGCTTCTTACCAAATTAATGGTAAGATAGCACCATTAAAAGGAAGAAAAAAAGAACAATTTAAGACTTTTCGAGTAGATCGATTCGCTCTTAGTTACTCGCTTGCTCACGACAAAAAACTTTCACACCTACACTTCCATTTCAAAACATTTTCAAAAAAATGAAACGTTTCGTATACGTTCTTATAGAGACGAGAACCATTACGAAACCTCTTTTCAAAACACTTTTCAAAATACGATTCACAAACACATCTTTGAACCATTTTCTGAAACAAAACGTTGTATATGTTCTTATAGAGACGAGAACCATTACAAAGAGACTTTCCAAAATACTTTCAAAAAACCACACCACAAGCACACAATCGAACAAAAGCAAGTGATCTAAAACGAGTAAATAAGAGCCCATGGAAAACCATGGATAAAAAGGATGCTAGCACCTTCCCTTTTCATAATCTACCCCCCGAACCCTGGGAAAATTCTCGAAAGGTCTTTCCTGTGCTTTTTACCTTTCCTTTTGGATAAAAGAAAAGTCAGTGGCGACTCTTGCTAACCGCACAAGTGCGAATGAAACGCAAAACCTCTAGTCAGTTCTCCCACCGTATCACACTGAGGATAAAGAATTGAACGATTATAAAAAGAGATATTTTTACTATAGTATTGGGAGGATGTCTGAAGAAGAGTTTCATGCTAAACAAGTTCGAGCTCTAGGTGGTGTTGAACCGGCAAGAGGTTTGTGGTCTGCTAGAATTTTTCATATAGATGATAGGTTGTTTCACTACTTTATGGTCTATATCATGTTTCCTATGGCTGGAAATCACTGTACTATTACGGACCTTGAAATGCAACTTTTGTATGCTAGAAAAAGAGGAATTGATGTTAATTGGGCTCGTATGATTTTGATTCACATGCTGAAATTTAATGCTAAATTCAAATTCCTTCCGTATGCTTGGTTCATCACTCGCATCTTGGAAAACTTTAACATTGATGTTGAAGGATTTGAGGTTTGTCAAATGTATTCGAATAATAACAAGATTTCCATTAAGAATGTTGATCTGCGTATGGGTGTTCTTTACAATTCGGAAACAAAAACAATTACATACTTTGGTGAAGATGTGGTTGTCAATGAAGGTAATGAGCAAGAAGATGAAGGCGGTGAAGATGTTCCTCCTCTACATGTTCCAAATGGTCCAAGAAATCAAGATATAATGGACTTCATGACTCAACAATTTGCCACTCTCAACACCAACATCAACAACCAATAGAACTGCATCAATGAATCTACTACAACTCGGAAATTTTCGAACCGATGTAAACAACCAATTTTCATACCTTTACTCACATATTTACATTCCATCCTATGATCCAAACAACTCAGCTCATCCTCCTCCAAGATTCACACCAATTCAACCACAATTTCCATACCAAGATCCAAACAACTTTTACAACAACCCCAATTCAAACAATGACATGGACCAACCTTAATTATGCTATCTTGGTTTGTTGTATTTAAATTATGTTTAGTTATCTTAAACTATTAAGTATTTTGGTATTTATGTTTAATTGTAAGGTACATTATACCATAACTTTATGTTTGTGTGTTTTCTAATTTTGAATGCTTGTGTGATGTTTATCTCTTGTGCTAATTTGCAAGTCTATGATTCCTTGTCATATATTATATTTCACCCATATTTTCATTATTTTTGATGATATCAAAGGGGGAGAAAGTTGTTACACTTTTATGCTTATATTTCCTTATCTTTGTTCTTAAGGTACAAAATCTGTTCCAAAAAGTTTCAAGTCAAATTACTCCCAACTTCACACATTGAGGGGGAATCATACATCTTAGAGGGAGAAGCTTTCTGGAAATACCATACATCAAAGAAGATTGTTTGTCATCATCAAAAAGGGAGAGAATGTGAAATCAAGATTCTCAATGAAGAACTTTATTTTGATGAAGACAAATCATAATGGCAAGAAGGAAGAGATGTTAATCAAGCTAAAACATCATGTTTAAAAACTTTGATTCAAAGCACTTGGCAATTTTTAGAAGGTATACTGACAATTCTTTCCAAGTACTTAAGTCTTAGATGCTCAAAGATCAAAACAAGATTGCATAACATACTTACATACTTTCACAAGTTTCTTAAAGAAAATATCTGAAAATTTTCTAAGTGCAATCGATTTACACTTAATGCAAATCGATTTCTCACTGAACATTACACATACTTTTTCATTTTTAAGCTACTAATTTGATGTGCAATCGATTTGAACTTAAGAGTAATCGATTTCTCACTGAAAGTTTTTTGAATTTTTTGTCTGTTAAAGGTTGTGCAATCGATTTGCACAAAGGTGCAATCGATTGCTCACTGAACGAATTTGAAAAACCATTAACTTTTCATGCACCTTTTCATACACATTTTCATTTAAACTTTTTATTTCAACTTGACAATTATTCATGGTATTTTTGTATAACATTACCATGTTTCAAAGAGGTGTTATGATCTTATAAATACTTGATTTTTAAAATTCAAAACTCACCTCTTCCAATCAAATTTTGCCTAAATTTCAAAATTCATAATTCAAGTGTTCATCTTTCATTCAAGAATTTTCTGCATATTTTCACATTACATAAAACAGAAATTCTTGAGCAATCTAATTCTTAAGTCATTGTGAATTATTGTTATTGGAAGAGAAGATTAATCCAAGATTGATATATTGTATCATATTTCAAAATCTCTTGTAAAAATTCAGAATATATTATCACTCCCCTTGCTATTCAGGATTGTTGAAAGCAAGTGTGTGAATTGAAGATGATTGTTCTTCTTGCACTTAGTGTTTAGATCTTAAAGGTGTTAAGAACCTTTGATCTCTCTATAGGTTAGATAGTAAGCATCACAATTAGTGTGAATAAGATGTGCAATCATTCTAACTATAGTGAAATCTCTTTCGTGTTGAAAGGGGACTAGAGTACTCTCGGACAGTGAGGGGAACTATGATATATCCTTGTGTCATTTACTTTCCGCATTTTATCGCTTTCATCACTTAATAAAAAAAATCAGAAAAGAAAGATCAAAGATTCATAAAATCAAAAATAATTTTTAAAGTCCTAATTCACCCCTCCCTCTCTCTTAGCAGAAGTAATTAGCAGAAGTAATTTTGGAATAAAGACATTAAATGTATCTAAATTTGTTGACATTTACATATATTTAATGACAAAAAATTATGGAGGGTGATAGAAGGTTTGAAGTTGGCTTGGCATTATGGCTTTCGGGATATAGAGATGAATTTAGATTCATCGACAGGAAAAATCTCGAGATTTCGTTAGTTAGACACATTTGTTATATGATGGAAATAAATTGGAATATTGATATTTTGCATTTCTAGCAAGAAACGAATTGGTGTGCTGACGCGTTAGTCAATTTAGATTGATGTCTAAGTGTTTCGTTGACCGTTTTTGAGAATTGTCCTCCGCAACACAGGAAGTTTTATGATGTTAATGTATGAAGTCATGCTATCTCATATTTATTGTTGTGTAGTTTCTTCTTTTAGGTTTAGACCCTCACTCTTATAAAAAAATACCAAAAAAAATTAAAAAAATTTACTTATAAATATGGCGGAAAGAAATATCATATACGCGTGAGAAATTGATTCTCTCATATCACGTGAGTGACATTCAACTCAATTCAAACTCTTGATTTGGAAAGTGAAAAAAAAAAGAGAGAGAAATTTTGAATTTAAAAGTATAAATAAAACGAATTAAATTTTGTGCGTAAGAAAATGGTCTATCTTATTTTCTTTTTTCTTTTTTTCAACTATAGATAAAGTGACAATGATTCCCTCACTTTGATTAATTAGTTAATCTACCAAAAATATAAAACTTCAATTAATTAAAAACATAAACTACTAATCCACCCATTCCCTCCGCCTCCACATTGCTTCCACCGTCCGCCCAGTCCCGCCGTGATTCCGCTGCCACTTTTCCATTCGCAGTGTGTTGTCCTCCACCTCTGCACAAGCGCAACTGCATCATTTGTTGGGGGTGTAATGATCAAATGCAAACAAATCTCATCACTCTCTCATTTCTCCACACACTTGAAATCATCAACCCCACCACGTAAGTTCCAATTTCTCAATTTCTCGATTTCCCAACTATACATTTTCATTCCCTTTTCTTCCATTAACTAACCATTCTCATTCATTGCAGTTTCCACAATCTTCCGCACCCTCTGGCAATCCGCAACAGAGGATAACAACAACAGCAACAACAACAAATGGAGCATCTCACATTACATCATAGACGACAAAAACCTCCTTCGTCCAAGTTTCACCTCAACCGGTCTCCACGTTCTAGACCTCATCGACAATGGTTCCCTCCAACCGAACCGGACCATTTACAACAAGCTCTTAAAGAGATGCACAATGTTAGGGAAACTCAAACAAGGGAAATTAGTTCATGCCCATATCGTTGATTCTGAGCTTAAGCACGATTTAGTTATTCAAAATTCAATTTTGTTTATGTATGCGAAATGTGGAAATTTGGAACTTGCTCGCCAAGTGTTTGATGAAATGAGTGTTAAAGATGTGGTGAGTTGGACTTCGATGATCACTGGGTATTCGCAAAACGAGCGTGCTAGTAGTGCGAGTAGTGCACTTGTTTTGTTTCCTGAGATGATACGTCATGGATCGAAACCAAATGAGTTTACATTGTCGAGTTTGGTGAAGTGTTGTGGGTTTATGCAGAGTTATGTTGATGGGAAGCAGATTCATGGGTGTTGTTGGAAGTATGGGTTTCAGTCGAATGTGTTTGTGGGGAGTTCGCTTGTGGATATGTATGCTAGGTGTGGGTATTTAAGGGAAGCGCGATTGGTTTTCGATGAGCTTGAGAGTAAGAATGAAGTTTCTTGGAATGCTTTGATATCTGGATATGCAAGGAAAGGTGAAGGAGAGGAGGCTTTGGCTTTATTTGTGAAGATGCAAAGGGAGGATTATGGAGCAACGGATTTTACTTATTCGGCTCTTTTGTGTTCTTCTTCGAGCACAGGGTCTTTGGAGCAAGGGAAATGGCTTCATGCACATATGATGAAATCAGGAAAGAAGTTAGTTGGTTATGTGGGGAACACGCTTCTTCACATGTACGCAAAGTCGGGAAATATTTGGGATGCGAAGAAGGTTTTTGATCGGTTGTTTAAGGTTGATGTTGTTTCTTGCAATTCCATGCTGATAGGGTATGCTCAGCATGGGTTAGGAAAGGAAGCTGTGGATCTTTTTGAAGAGATGATGTTGTGGGTTGAGATTGAACCCAATGATATAACATTCCTTTCTGTTCTGACTGCTTGTAGCCATGCTGGACTTTTGGATGAGGGTAAATATTATTTTGAGTTGATGAAGAAGTATGACATTGAACCAAAAGTCTCGCACTACACGACATTTGTTGATCTTCTTGGTCGAGCCGGTCTTCTTGATCAAGCTAAGAGTTTCATTGAAGAAATGCCAATCGAACCAACTGCAACTATCTGGGGAGCTTTGCTTGGTGCATCTAAAATGCATAAAAATATGCAAATGGGTGCTTACGCCGCTCAAAAGGTTTTAGAGCTTGACCCTTTTTATTCTGGAACACATACGTTGCTTTCCAATATTTATGCTTCTGCTGGTAGGTGGAAGGATGTTGCAAATGTGAGAAAGATGATGAAAGATAGTGGGTTGAAGAAGGAACCAGCTTGTAGTTGGGTTGAGATTGAGAATTCTGTCCATGTATTTGTTGCAAATGACATTTCTCTTCCAGATAAAGACAAGGTTTATGGAATGTGGGAGAAGCTAAATCAGAAAATTAAAGAGATTGGTTATGTTCCTGATACAAGTCATGTGCATCTCTTTGTAGATCAACACGAGAAAGAATTGAATTTGCAGTATCATAGTGAGAAGTTGGCTCTTGCTTTTGCCCTTCTGAATACTTCACCAGGATCCACTATACGTATAATGAAAAATATCAGGGTTTGCGGTGATTGCCACTCAGCAATAAAATATGTGTCTTTGGTTGTGAAGAGGGAAATCATTGTTAGAGACACTAATCGGTTCCATCATTTTCGTGATGGCTTGTGCTCTTGTAGGGACTACTGGTAGTGCCAATTAGTATCAACTAATTGATTGATTTTGCAGAATTATCTTATTATTTGCATGAAGGTTAATTAAATTTACCTTGAAGATTTATGTATATAATAGGAGAAATGTTTTTCTGACACAGATCTGGACCCAGACTACATATATTTATATATGTTGGGAAGTTATTAGAGAGATAAGTACAAAATCATTTTGTGTTATACAACTCAACATAATATTCATTGTAAATAATAGTTAGTAATTAGCTATTAATAATTAGTAATTAGTTGTCTTCTATCATATTTATAATCAACATTTAGAATTAGCATTTAAAGTGATTTGTCCCTTGTATTCTATAAATATCTTTCATGTATTATTTACTACAATATCAAAGAAATACAGATTGTTTGTTTCTTTATGGTATCAGAGCACCCGATTCTAGGAGCTCTGTTTCCGCGCTCAAAACACTAGTCGTTCTTATTACGGCCCTTTTTTCTTGGTCAAGGTTCCCTTTCTCTTGGAACCCTAGTGATCTCGGTGACTTTGCATCTGTCGTGCACCACTCAACCGTCGTTGCAGATCCAGACGGTTTCACCTTCATTGTTGTTTTCAGGACAATCTTCATTGTTGTACCTCTGTTTCTTGCTGTTTGAACCCTTATTGTTTGCTTGTCATCTTTGTTGGAGTTTCTTATTGACAACCCTTCAATCTTCTCCTAACAGTAGATCTCGACTCTCCTGGCTCGAGACGGTTTGTTTCTCTTTATGGACTCCATAAGTAAGTTCTCTAACACTAGTTCTCTGACCATGGCTGGTAAGAACTCTAGCTTCTTAGCTTTTAATGCCTCTTGTTCTAAAGATATATGGATTATTGATTCTGGTGCAACTGATCACATGACCCCATATATGTCATATCTCTCTTCTTATTCACCTTTACCTAATAAACGCCATATTACCGTTGCAAATGGGTCCCAAGCCCCGATTGTCGGATCTGGTAACATCCGCCTAAGCCCATCTCTCCACCTAAATCATATGCTTCATGTCCCTAAGCTTTCTAACAATCTTTTGTCCATCCATAAACTCACTAAAGACTGGAATTGTGCTGTAACCTTTTTTCATTCTCATTGTGTTTTTCAGGACCTTGCCACAGGGAAGAAGACGATTGGAATTGCCGAGGAACAGAACGTGTTATATTATCTGCCTCATAAGGAAAGTAAGTGTCATCAGGCTGGTTCAGAATCATGAGAAAATACTCAAATATGACTCCAGCACAGGCGTCTTGGACATCCTCCTTTTCGCATGCTTAGGTATCTATTTTCTCACCTATTTATCAAAGTGTTTGTTGATTCCTTTCATTGTGATGTGTGCCAGTTTGCTAAATCTCATCGAGCAACCTATTCCCCTAGTGATACTAGGAGTGTCGAATCCTTTGTTCTTGTTCATTCTGATGTATGAGGGCCTTCATCCATTTTCAATATTTCTGGTGCAAAATGGTATGTTACTTTTATTGATGACTGTACTCGGATTACATGGGTTTTTCTTATGAAAGATAAGTCTGAAGTGTGTTAATTGTTTGTTAACTTTTTTCAAATGGTTAAAATACAGTTTGGGAAACCTATTAAAAGGTTGCGGTCAGACAATAGTAAGGAGTATGTAAATTATAATTTTCACAATTTTCTCAAAACTAATGGTGTTGTTCATGAGTTGACTTGTGTCAACACTCCACAACAAAATGGGGTTGCTGGAAGGAAGAATCGTCATCTTCTTGAAATCACCTGAGCATTACGCTTTCAAATGAATGTTCCTAAATTTTATTGAGGGAAGTTGTCTTGACCTTATTTTATTTAATCAGTAGGTTACCTTCTAGGGTGTTATCTGGTGTTAGTCCTGTGCAGGTCCTGACTCGATTCTTTCCGTCCGTGCCCATTATGTCAAGTCTCCAGAATCGTATCTTTGGTTGTTCTGCCTTTGTCCATGTCCATGGTCCTCATCGGGGTAAGTTAGATCCTCGGGTTATTAAATGTATCTTCATAGGATATGCTTCAGATAAGAAGGGGTACAAGTGTTATCATCCTCCTAGTCGTCGTGCCTATATATCCATGGATGTTACTTTTCAGGAATCTGAGTCTTTTTATCCCAGTCCTCAGCTTCAGGGGGAGAATAATCAAGAAGCTGAGTCTTCAGAGTTGTTTGTCGTTCCTGTTATTCCTCTAATACCGGACCCAGAGTTGTCTCATGAGTTGCCTATTATTCCTCTAATACATGACCTGGAGTCGTCTCCTGAGTTGTATGTTCTTCCTATTATTCATGTAATACAAGAGCCATTGATGCCTAATGAGGATGGTGGTGATGCACCAATACCAGTGCATAATAATGTTGACAAATACAAGTTACAGTTCCAGCGAAAAAGGTGGAAAGGTAAACACGTTCTACCCCAACAAGTCCAATCGTATGAACCTGAGGCAAGTGTTCCTAACCCTGAGCCTAGTAATTCTTGTGAGTCAAACCTTGATGACCTACCTATTGCTTTGAAGAAAAAAAGGTCTTATACCAAATATCCTATATCCCAATTTGTGTCTACTGAAAAGTTTTTTGTGCAGCATCAGAGTTTTATTTCAGCTATTGACTCTATTAGAGTCCTTGCATTATTACAAGAAGCATTAAAGGATAAGAATTGTATTCAAGCATGAATGAAGAGATGCATGCACTAGAGAAAAACGGGACTTGGGAGATTATTGAGAAGCCAAATGACAAGAGGCCAGTAGGCTGCAGGTGGATATATATGGTAAAATACCGACCCGACAGTACACTCGACAGATATAAGATGAGACTAGTTGCAAAGGGATACACCCAGATCTATGGAATTGATTATGAAGAGACATTTGCTCCAGTAGAAAAAATGAACACCGTAAGATTCTTTCTTTGGCAACTCACTTTGATTGGAAGTTGCAACAGTTTGATATGAAAAATGCTTTCTTGCATGGAGATTTAGAGGAAGATGTGTATATGGAGATCCCACCCGGATATTGACCCTACTTCAGGAAGTAATAGGTTTGCAGGTTAAAGAAGACCATATATGGGCTCAAGCAATTACCCCAGACTTGGTTTGGGAGGCTCACTCATGTTATGGTGTCTTTGTGTTATAAACAAAGCCAAGATGATCATACTCTCTTTATAAAGCATGCTCAAAATGGTAAACTCACTCTTTTGTTAGTCTACTTAGACGATATGATCATAGCAGGTAACAATGAAGTTGAAAATAAAAACTTGAGGAAGGAGTTGCCATCTCCGTTTGAAATGAAGGATCTTGGAAAGTTAAAATATTTCCTAGGTATGGAGGTAGCATACTCAAAACAAGGCATTTTCATTTCTCAGAGAAAATATGTCCTTGACCTTCTCAAATACCATAGACTTGTGAGAAAGCTCATTTATCAATCTCACACCAGGCCTGTTTTCAAATAACACAATTGAAATATAAGTCATGATAGTAGGCTACATTTTAAGTCAACTCAAACAAATGTATGGGCCAGTGAGATGTGCATAGCATCTTATTTGAGGCAAAAGATCTTTAGTTATTTTTTAGATATGCACATTTAAAATGCGTTGGATGCATCATTGTGCACATATACATGGAGTTATTTTAGTTTTCCTTTTCTTCAATTTTAAAATTTCCTTATTCTTTAGGTGTTTGTTCCATCTTCTGAAGTGTTGTAGATTGCAGATATTATTTATATGTCTCTTAATTATTTCATTTACTTTGTATTATTGTGGATGAGTGGAAAATAATCAGATTGAAAAACTAAAAGTGGCCATAAGTTATTGTCCAATTTATTAGGTAATAAAAGTTGCAAGAGCATCTAAAATGCATAAAATTAAGAGCACTATTATAGATGAGTTTCACCTTGTTACATTGGACAATAACACTTCACTATAATCAACAAAAAAATAAGTGATGCATAAGAGATATACAAACACCAACATAATAACAATAAGAACGGGTTATGTTGTGACACCTTATACGTGGACCATGTTTTAACATAAATACTTATTATTCTCTCGGTTCTAAAATAATTGGAGATCACATTTAGAAAAATTATTTGTTCAAAATACTTGTTACTCTAGATGCCAATGCAGTTTTATTTTTTAAGTTTCAATTGTATCTTGAAATAAATATTATTATTTATTATTTTCCCATTTATTATTAATGTTAATTTGATTACACCAATAGTTGATAAAGATCATTTGGTAAAATCACAATTCTTTCTTTTTTATTTATTACTATTTTTTAATTTGTGTGAAAGTATTAATTATGACAATTATTTTGGGACAGAGAAAGTATTATATTTAAGAATCATATTTATTAGGCAAAATACCCTTTTGGCTCCTTATCTTTACCTCAGTGTTCATTCTAGTCCCTTATGTATTCAAACATTATGATTTAAATTTGTTCCGTCCAATTTTCACAAACGATGTCAATTTTTTTGAACAAGCAGGGAATATGACAGTGGCTGACTATGCGGCTAAGTTTGAGGAGTTGTCACGATTTTGTCCTTATTATAATGGTGTGGAAGATGATTAAGAGTTCATTGGTTATGAAGAAATCTGTCGTTTTTTAGTGTCGATGAGCAAATGAAGAATTTATGAAAAGGATAGTAGAGTCAGATCTGATCACTACAAAATTATGAGTTAGAAGAAGAATGAGGATTATAGTCGTAGTAAGCCATATGCGACTCCAGTTGATGGGGGAAAATAGAAATCACAGTAGAAGGTCGCATGCGGGAGTGAAACAAGTGGGGGAGACATTCTCATGTCTCTGCGAGGTTTCAAGTGTGGAAATCAAGGACATCGTGCTACTGAGTGAAATAGTGCAGTTATAATTTGTTTCAACTGTGGAGAACTATGTCATATTAGTACTCAGTGTCAAAAGTCGAAGAAAGTACCAGATACAGTGAAAACTAGTGGAAAAGTCTTTACTCTGAGTGATGAGGAGACATATGGACCTGATGATTGGATTCAAGGTACGTGTCTTATAAGTGGTATGTCTTTAGTTGCATTCATTGTTGGGGTAGCGTCACAAGGGGGTTAGAGAACCAGATGAGAGAATATTATTCAGAGTTATTTCCTTTACGTAATTTTCAAGGGTAATTTTTTTTAAGTGGAGGAGAGTTGTAACACCCCAGTTTTAATTTTAATATTATTAGTATTATTTTAAAATTTTTAATGTTATTTTAAATAATTATTTGACTTTTGATTTAATTAAATGTGGATTATTGATTTATTTGGTGGTGAGTTATTAGAAATTATAGTAGTATTTTATTAGATTTTTTTTTTGAAACAAAGAATACTTTATTGTATAAAAAAAACACTCTAAGAACAAGTGACCACTAGGGTCAAACTATCCAAAAACCACAAAACAGACAAAAAGGATAAGGCCTAAAGGCACAAGAAGCCTACTAATATACACCCTAAGCTTAGGTTTATGGCATCAAGGATACTATTTATGGTAGTTTGTTGGCAACTTACACCCCTAAAACACCACTGATTTCGGTACTTCCACACTTCATGTACTATTTCTCTCAAAGCACATTGAATGATTCTAGTTTTCCAACTCTTCTTCTTACAAATCGCTATGAGCCAAGCTCCTCGGACCAACTCTTCGGATTGTGATCAATTTCAATCCACTTGAGAATTTCCCCCCAAATGGTTCTAGTAGCAGGGCATTCAAACAATAGGTGATCAACAATTTCAATATTACTGCAAAAACAACACTCGTTATTATTAATCATGCCAAATCTATGAAGTCTTTCCTTAGTGGGAAGCTTTCTGTGGAAAGACATCCACAAAGTGTGAATTTAATTTCTCCTAGTTGCTTGCATTCTCATACACCACACATTTCCAAGGCACATCCTCCTGCTGGCGAAAGAAAGCTTTATAAATCACTTTCGTCATGTACTTCTCATTCAGCAACATAATATCCAAATCCTGCATGTTTAAGACCTCCCCTCTCAGATACATCATATTTTTGACAATCCAAGAAGCTGAATTTCTAATGGAGACCTGCATCACATTATTATCTTTTAAGTAATAACTATGGATCCATCGAACCCACAAGCTATCCACTTTTCCATTCAAGTTCCAAAGATACCTTACTAAGCAAGCTTTTCTCTAAAGATTCAGAGCCACAATGTTTAAACCGCCTTTAGCTTTTGGAGAGAAAAATTTGTTCCAAGCTATGGGAGACTTGCGGGTAATAATCTCAGAACCAGACCATAAGAAGGTGCAGCAAATGGCATCAATCCTTTTTATAGTCTGCTTAGGGAGAGGCACACAATGCATCCAGAAATTACTCATAGCAAAAAGAATGCTCTGAATCAATTGGGTCCTGCCAGCAAAACTCAACAGCCTAGAACTCCAATGCCTAATTCTTTGCACGATTTTATCAACAAGGCTCAGGCAATTCTTATGAGTAATTCTTTTTCCTAGATAAAGGTATGCCTAAATATTTAAAAGGCAAAGAACCTTCAGCAAACTTTGTGGTCCTCAGAATTTGCTGCTTCTCACTATGACCAACATTGCCACAATACACTTTACATTTTCCAAGATTCACTTCAATCCCAGTAGCTGCACCAAAATCATCAATAACTTTGATAACCATTTGCACATAAGCATTATCCCCTCTTGTGAAAATAAGCAGATCATCTGCAAAACTCAAGTCAATAATTTTAAGCTTGTCACACTTGGAGTGAAAGTTGAAATTATTATTGTAACCCATTTTATGTAGCAACTTGTGCAGGTATTCCATAATCAGCACAAAAAGCAAGGGAGACAAGGGGTCTCCTTGTCTGAGATCCCTTTTGGATGGTAGATGGTCAGAGAGCCTGTTATTAATTTTGTGTCTATAAGAAACTGATCTAACAATTATCATGATCCAATTAATAAACCTATCGGGGAACCCCACCTCTGACATAATGTTCTCTAAAGCATTCCATTCAACGTTATCATAAGCCTTTTTCATGTCCATCTGAATCATACAACAAGGAGGACCATTCTTACTAGTATACACTTTCACTAAATAAAAATCTAGGAGAACATGCTCATGGATATGATGCCCAGGGACAAACACAACTTGGCTCATGTCCACAACTCCCCCTAAGACCTTGCCCAATCTGTCAGCTAAGATCTTAGAGATCAATTTCAGTAGGATAGTAACATATGAAATAGGTATAAAATCACTAACCTTGCAAGCTCCCTCAAACTTAGGGATGATTGTAACAATGGTATTATTAACCGCTTTGTACAACCTCTCATTCAAAAAGAAGTCTTGAATAGCTTCCAGAATATCCTCCTTAATAATGTTCCAAGCAACCTTGTAAAAAGAAGCCCCGTAACCATCAGCACCTAGAGCAGTTAGATCATTCATACTCATCCGGTTTGGTGAACCTCTTTTTCAAAAGCAGGAGCCATCAATTGATGACATTGGTCAACCTTCACCTGATTACCATTTCTAAGCACCTCGATATCAATCTTCTTCATGCTAGTAGCAGCAGACCCCACTAACCCTTGATAGAAATTGATCACCTCTTTCTCAATTTGGTCATGATCCACAAGATTCTTGCCATCTTTATCAACCAGGTTGTTAATTTGAGCTTGCTTATATCTATCCTTGAGATTGGAATAGAAGTAAGCACTACTAATGTCCCCTAACCTGATCCAATCTATTTTAGCCTTTTGCCTGAGTAGATATTCTTCAATATTAGCCAGCTTGATAACTTCCTGAGAGCAAGCTTTATCCTTCATAATTGTTGAGATATTCATCCTCTCAGCTATCAACTCCTCCTGAGCTTTGCTAAGGTTTTCCCTAGATCTCTCTATCTGCTTATTGATCCCCTGATACTTCTTGCATTTATCTCTAACCACAACCTTGAATCTTTAAAGCTTTTTCCAAACTTTTAACATAGGTCTCCCACTTAACTCCTTAGTCCAGTCAACTGCTGCTGAATTCAGAAATCCCTCATACTTGGTCGGGATATTAGGAAACTTAACACTCTTGTTGAACATAATCCTTTGATCAGTTTCCTGCTAGCATAATAAGGCATGATCAGAGATCCTTGGGGCCATAACTTTCAGAGATTTGTCCAAATACTACTGATGCCACCTGCCATTGCCAATCACTCTATCAATACGCGAGTAAATGGGCTTACTACATTGATTACTAAACCAAGTATAATAATCACCCACGTTGTCTTTCTCAAAGAGCCCAACTCTATCCATCATACTAGCCAAATCCTTCTACTCCCTCTCTTGCACTGTGTTACCACCAGTTCTATCCTAGACATGTAAAACATTGTTGAAGTCCCCAATTAAAGCTCAGGGCCCCTGAATAGTTTTTGAAATATCCTCAATGTCATTCCAGAGCTTTTTCCTTTTCTCTAAAGTGTTGTGAGCATAGATTGCGGTGCACCGTATCTTGAACTCCCCACCAGTGCTATATATGCCCAGATGAATAATCTAATATGTGCTTTGCTCCTCCTTGATTAGAGTCTTATTTCTATCCCACAGAATCTACAACCTACCATTATCATGATGCTCATAGTTATCAATGTAAGACCACCCCTGGCCCATCTTATTTCTAATGTTATCAACTTTGTGCTTTTTAACTCTAGTTTCTATAAGAATCCCCATATCAGGGCGTAGATGATTGAGACGGGTTTCTATCTCTCTAAACTTACCTGTCATATTCAACCCTCTAGTTTTTAAAGATATGATCATGTCATACTTTCCGCGCCTTCCCCTGGTTCCTTCCAAATCCTAAGGGCCTTAAACACATATTACAGGGTATCTCCATTTCAACATCTTTCAGCACTGCTTTTCCCCTCATCTTTCTATTATGGATGACTTGTGTCCAGGGCACAGTTGATGGCTCAATGGGATTGTTAGGAGTAGTGACCATTATATGGTTATTAAGAGAAGTTACCTCTGGTTCCTTGTGGCTAATCTTGGCAACCGGTTTCTATTGCTTCTTCTCTTTTGGCTTTTCTTTCTCACATTTGTGTTCCATACATTGGCAAACATCACAAAATCTAGGTTTCCACCCGTTGCTCATAGCTTTCCCCATCTTCGTCTTGGATTACTATACTTTCCTACTGAGGTTTAGTAATATCAATTTCAACTAGAATCCTAGCATAAGATATCCCTAGTTTGTTCGCACTACACTCATCTGTAAGAATCGACTTACCTATGGCGCTCCCTATCTTTCACAATATTGATAGCCCCCATAGGTAGATAGGAAGATTCGGCAAATTCACCCAGACTGGAATAGTCCTCACCATGTCCCTTTTGAAATTGAAATCTGGATTCTAGTTCTTCAAAATCATATTGGGGTGTTGTGTATTGTATAAGGCCCTCGAATTAAGACTATTTCCTTGTCCTGCTCATATTTAAATCTCATTAAAAAATATCACTCATCGTGATAAAATAACTTCGGCAACTGGACGAAGTTCCAATACTTTAACGTGAACTGTTTGATAGGATTCATGCTCAAGTCCTTTCTTATTGCATATATTATAGCAGAATTCTTCCAGTACTTCAATTCCTTTTCCACATCTGCATTTTCTATGATGACGACTGGTTTCCCCTCCACCATCTTTGGCACAGAATACCCCAGAACAATTCCATTAGTTGGGATGCGATTACCACTAATCACATCAAACCATAGTTTCCTTTCCTCGTTTGGGATGGAAACCGCTTCTTCCTCTTTCTCTGATTCTTCCTCTACAGTTTCCTCATCCCAATCCTCCACTACAACTTCACCAACTTTACCTTTACCAGTTATTCTTGAGCTCCCTTCTCCCTCCTTACTCACAGATTGAGCCATCAGTGTCGACGCCTTTCTTTTTGGCTTTCCATGCCCACGACCCATCTTCCCCAGCAATCAAAAACCCTAGACGGTACCTCACTGTTTCCCCTTCACCTACGTGGTCCCTAACCTTAAGGCTAGGTATTTTATTAGAATCAATATTATTTTTATTTAATTAAGAAAAGTAGAAATAATAAAAAATAGAGACTTATGAGTTTTAGGTAGAAAATATAGTTTTAATGAAAATTGAAGGGAGAATTAACACAAGTTAAGGGAAAGTTGTGAGAATAATAAAAATAAAAGAATTAGGTTATTTTTATTTTAAATAGAGGAATAGGGAGATAAAAGAGTGAGTACATGTTTTTGGTTGGGAAAATAGGCAGAAGAGAGAAAGACTTAGAAAGAGCGTTTGGAAGGAGCAAAGAGAAAATTTCAAAAGGCAAAAACTTCATCGATCTGAAAATTTGAGGTAAAAGGGATTGTTCACATGTGAGTGTTTAGGAACTCGGATAGTGAGAGATCCTAACCCTCTTATCTTCTTCTTTTTTATTTTTTGTGTTTATGTTTGTGGCCAAAATCTTCTGAAGCGATTGGTGTGATAATATTTTAATCTATTTGTACTTGATCATTATTGACCTTTTTTTGATAACCTTGTTGTCGTCTTTGGTAAGGCAGGATTGATTGAATAAATAATGGTTGTGCCTTATGATAAGGCGAACATATATTAATTTGTATGTTTTCTTTTAAGTTCTATTAACTTGTATTGAGGTGACTGATAGTGAAATAGGCGAGGTGAGTTATGAATCTATTCAATAGAGAGAAAAACACAAAATCGCAGGTAGACATAAAAGGGGATTGACAACCTTATTTCATGTGTAACCTGAGTTTTGTAAGTCCATCTGAGGTGTGGTTAATTGTGTTATAAAGATAACACAATAATATTTCTTTTGAAGTGAGGAAATTGAGTCTATGAGCGCTACAACCATAACAGTTATCTAGTTTTTATACAAGAAGCACAATCAAATTTCTATTCCATATTGGTTGTCTTGATTCACGCATAACTTAATTTTCGCAAGTTCTCTAAGAGTAAATTTTATATCATAATAAAATAGATAAAATTTCTTACATATTAGACTTAATAAGTATCTCATTTTACAGGGTCTGTAGGTGAAATACTAATTACAAGTCTAACGAAAATATTATGCCCGATGTCGGTACAAATTTCCATTGCTCGATTAAGTTGTATAAATTGGGACCTTAAGTCCAAAAATAAAAGTTATATTATGATAATAAGAATTATAAGCTTTACAAAACATATTAGTTTTCTTGATTTCAACTTTGATTGATATTTTAAGGAGTTGTTCAAACTTGAGGTGTGACTAGTAGCAAACATTTTGTCTGATATCTCCACCAGTTCCTATTGTTTGATTAAACTGTACTGGTTTATATTCTAAGTATTCAAATAAAAATCATAATATTAAAATAGAAACTCTAATATTTCTAAAACATTTTCATTTGCTTGATTCCAACTTCATTTAATATTTAAATGATTATCGAAGTTAGACATTATGTTTTACGGTTTATGCGTGAAATATTGTGATATGGGTAAACTGAAACGAATAGAATTGGAGTTTCATAACTCCGATTGATATGTGATAAATTGAGTTTGAAAGAAGGTTTAAAGAACTTTTAAACTGAAGAGTTTCAAAATTTTATCATAAGTCTATGATATTTAGTTACTATTGTGAAGTGAGATTGTTTTATACTTAAGTTCATAGTTTTAAGAAACCCTTTAACAATTTAAGGAGTTGAATATATTTATAAATAATTTTGTTAATTATATGAATTTTTCATAATTGTGTGCTACGTTTGAATCAATTAATGTATGTGTTTTTTTTCTAATTTATTGTCTAAAATAGCCTAAAATATGTTGGCCTAAAATGACATGAGATATGTGTGCCTAAAAAAAAAATCAAATTTAGTGAATAAAAACAAAATAATTAATTATAGAAAATATTTCGAAGATACATCTTTCTGATACATCTAAATGGTACATCAAATAACGTATGTATATGCATCTACAAATTATATTTTATTTAAAATGGAATGCATACTAGAAAGACACAAGTATATCTTATTTTAGATAGATTCAAAGATAACAATTTCAAAATTTCAAAGATATGAAACACACCCATAAAGATAAATATAACATTATTTACCTTTAAATAAGTTTTTATTTTTTATTTTTTATGAAAAGTAAAAAGAAAAAAAGCATCATAGAATTTTTACCACACAAGAAGAAAACTTGAGTAATATTTTTGAAAAATAACAACACTTGTTGTCATTGTGAATTTGTTTGAACCCAGTTGATACCTGCCCCTCCATTTAGGGAGCACTGGTACCATATTAATGAGAATTTGTCGGTTATAGAAATTATTGACCTTACATTGGTGGGTCACCTACAACATGTTGTCTACCCAAGGGTGGTGCAGGATGAAGTAGGAAAGTGGAACACTTACTTTTTTTAGTTAAATAATAGTCGAAAATTTATTATAATATCTAAGATGCTAAAAAATTAGGTGTAATGTTTAAAAATAATATGAAAGGGTTGAGTTGTAAATTTAATGGCAACTAATATTTTTAAATCAAAATAAATTTATATTAATATATTATTATAATAATTATTGTCAATGTTATTCACAAAATATATTAAATCTAGTAAAAAAAAAACTAAGATCTAATTAATCAATTAATGATAAATACTCATTTTGTATATGAATTGAACACTCAAACTGTTTTTTCAACTAAGTTGTTTTCAAATAAATAACTTGGGTACTTATTATTTATCATACTAAATATATTATAATTATTTCCATTTTGATGTTGACAATATAAAAATAATAATTATTTTATTCTTCAATATGTGTACCGTATATAATTTTGTAATACATATTATTAGTATATTATAAATATTTTCATTTTTATTTAAAATATATAAAAATAATAATTGATTTATAAGAAATAATTTCTCCATTTATTAATTGTATGCTTCAATGTCACTCTTTAGCATCCATTTTCAATAATTTGTTATCAAATAATTTTATTTTAATAAATAATACTAAAATGAACCGAGAATGGAAAACGTGGGGAAAAAAAATAGAAGGAGGTACTATATTGTATTTATGGTTATCATTTGTTATCTCAAAATCTACCTTTCTCAGTAATGAAAGCTTCTAAACGGAGAATGAACTGTTCAGCTAGGATTCTCAGTACCGGCAGTGTATTTCGATATCGGTTATCTTCAACTAACTCTTTAATCATTCAGATAGGAGATATCTCCAAATGGTTCATCAATGGTTCCAACGACGCAATCGTATGTAAAATTTAGTATAATTTTGTTTTTACAACTATTATTACTCAAAGAAATGTGTATATGAACACATACAGGTAAGTCCTGCAAATAAGGGAATGGTTGAAGATAAAGATGTAACTCCAAAAACTAAGATAGTGTGTGCTCAAGGTGGGTGGGTGCAATGCAAATTTAGAATGATACTTTGTTATATCTATGTAATATTATTGAGCTTGTGTTAATGTGATGGCTTTTTTTTTTTTGTACTTGGTCTCAGCTATACACAATGCTGCTGGTTTGGATCTTCTCCGAGCATGCAAAAATGTTCCGGAAGTCTTGCCCGGAGTTCGCTGTCCGACCGGGGAAGCGTTTATCACACCGTCAGTTCTTATACTTTTTTTTACTTGTGAACATAAAGCCATTTGCAGAAGCTTATCTTAGTTGCCCTAATGTGCAGAGGTTTCTTGCTGTCGGCTTCTCGTGTTATTCATACTGTTGGCCCAATCTATGATGTTGATACTAACCCTGCTGCTTCTCTGGCAAGGGCTTACAGGTATCTTTATTTATAAGAGAAAATTTACTTTTTAGATTTTATCTGATTTTTATTGTTTTTGACGAGTTAATTAATCCACTTTATATTTTGGTTTATTGAGCCATGTTTGATATTTTCAGGAATTGTTTGAGGATTGCAAAAGAGAACAACATTGAGTATATAGCATTCCCAGCCTTATCTTGTGGTGTCCATGGGTAACAATATATACTCATTGTAATTAATTTTCGATTTGATTTGTTTTTATGAAGTTTTAATGCTAGCTGAATATTTCAGGTACCCTTATGATGAAGCTGCTACTGTGGCAATTTCTACCATCAAAGAGTTTAAATATGATTTTAAGGAGGTAATATTAACTTCTTTAGTGTGTTATATTGAATTTATAATGATGAGGTTTGTACCTAATAATATGGTTATCTTTCAATAATTGAGGTTTATAGAATATTTATTAAAAATTTAAATATTTGTTTCAGGTCCACTTTGTTCTCTTTTCATCTGATATTTGTGACATTTGGCTGAATAAGTCGGATGAATTGCTGAAAGATTAGTGTAAGATTTGTATCATTTAGACTCGTGAACATTTATGATTGTCTTTTGTTCGTGTTATCATTTTCTCTTGAATGTTAGAGAGATTTGCTAGTAATTTATTCTATATAAATGATGACATCTATCTACATTCTAAAAAAAACAATTTGTTGTTCACGGTTTTGCTTGCATCTAAAATCATAATGGATGAGTTTGTTATTACATTTTCATGGAGTTATGGATCTCTCATTTTTATGAGAGTTTCATAATTGTATTTATTCTTTAAGTTACTTTGTTGCATTGAGTTAATTGAACGAGGTTGATGTTTTTTTTTTTCCTTTTTAAGAAAGGTTATTTATCTTTCATAAAGTTGAATTTAAAAAAATAGAGTCCAACCTAATTGGTTATACAAGTAGGTTTTATCTTTCATAAAATTGTTGAACTTTTTTTTTTATAATTAATTAGAAGACATTATTATTATGCATTGTTTTAATTTTTTCCTTTATATTATTTTATAAATAATTAAAATAAAAATTAAATTTCTCTTGACATTGAATATCTATGTTTAAGTGTCTGTCTTTTTATATTATAAGTCCATTTTAATTAAATTCTTTTAGAATTAGAATCTAATTCATTCTTAGTAAAATCGATGTTAAGTTAAAAGTGTCATTTTATATAAATTATTTTTAAACTTTGTTATAAATTATTTTTAAGCTTTATGTATAATCAAGATTTGAAAATTTCCTAATATAAATATAAGTAGACTCGCATTCGCATAGACAGCCATATTGTGTGGACTCTATTGCACTTGAAATTTTCGTAATTTTTTGTTAGATACGACAAAAACAATATGTGTAGATCAATTATTAAAAATATTGTCAGTCTACGTTTTTTACTTTATATTCCCTCCACACAAATACTTTATACACGAGTGATTAAAAATATTGTCGGTCTTTTGTTTGCATGTGTCTTGCGTTTTATACTTTAAAAAAATATATTTTTTGAAACAAAAAGAATTTTTTTTTTTGAAAAATAACCGTTTTTTATTTTTCTAAAAAAGAAATTAAAAATAATTCAGAAAAAAAGTCGATCTTTTTATTTTCAGAATAAAATATATATTTTTTTCAAAAAAAAGTTGATAATAATTTTCAAAATTTTTTATTTTACAAAAATATATAATTAAAAAACCTAAAATATTTTGTTCCAAATTGTAGTGTTCTATTTGACAAATTCCTAGGTTAAGATCCCAATCGCCTAATAAATATGTCGCACAGACGAAATCCAATTGAACGGCCCATGGAGTTCACCCATCATGGTAATAAGAGAAAGTCCTCATTGGCTCTAGAAATATAGTCGGTCAATAATTTCTCTAATAAAAGGGAGCGGTTAAGACCACATCCAAGAGGTTATAAATCCTACATCTGAGAAACTCCTATAAATACACATCCCACAAGGGGATAAAGATCTCTCAAATAACATATATTTACACACATTCAAACACTACTCAGAGAGCACTCCACTCTGAGTAACCCTAACAATATCACTTTAACCGCATGCTTGCAACTTAGTAGCACCGACAACTAGCAGGGCCTCTCACCTCACGTGAGTTGGTGCATTAAACAGTCTCAAAAGCCACCGTACAGTGCTACTCACCGCAATGAGTTAGCCCTCACCCCCAAACATGTAATATATCTACTAGAGCCTATGAGTCTCCCTACCCTTGCAGGGAGAATACACACACACCTATACTTTTTTGGACAGTACAATGACGCCCACTAAAACTAACTTCAGTTACACCTCTTTCTAATAACATTCACCTTCCTTGCCGCACCCTCAACTCTAACTTCTTACCATTACTAGACATGGTGATTAGAGGAGCTCAATCCCTTACTTCTGAAGGTACTAGTGATACAAGAGATACCGAGGTCATGGCAGAGATGCAAGCCTCCATGGATGAATTATAACGTCACAACCGAACATTAAAAGACAATGTTCAAAATATTAAATAGTGCCAACAAGAGGTTAATCCCCCAGAGGAGATGGAACTGTTGGATCCCCAGTCCCTCTCGGACGAAATATGGGGGCCCCTTGTTCCCGAGAGTTTTAAACCTCCATTCTTGGCCAAGTTTGACAAACGCAGCTGAAGGGTGAGAAAACACTTAGAAGGGGGGAGGGGGGTTGAATAAGTTTCTCTTTTTCTTTTTCTTAAAGACTCAACAATAATGGAAAGACAAGGTTATTTTTATCCTGGTTCGTTTGAACTCAAACTACTCCAGTCCACCCGCCAAGGTGATTTCGCCTTTCTCAACAATGACTTAATTCACTATAATCAACTGATTACAATCACACAACAACTGTTGTGACTAACAATGCACAAGTAATCTTACAAGTGACTCACACCACTAAGACTTAAACTAGTCCTAGTCTACTTGAGAAATCTGACCAAACTTGGTCTCTCAAGGAACAATTACAAGAGTTAAAACTTTACAGATAGTGAAAAAAAGTTTGCTTCTAAGAAAGCTATATCACAACTGTGATTTTTCACTAAGAATAGTATTGCACAAAGTGTATGAAAATTATTTGTGAGTCCAGAATATTTTCACGTAGTTTTTGCTTATTTTGAAATTGATGAGTTCTCTCTAAGTAGTTGGCTTGCAATAAATGTTCTTCTATATATAGTAAGAACAAAGATGACCGTTGCTGCCTTCAAATGTGGAGAGCATTAAATGTTTGTGTGTTTCCTTGTACTATTCTATTTTCCAATGAACTAGCGTAGACACTTGAGTGCATGTAGCCGTCTTTGCATTAAATGAGCAAACGACACTTGTAAGAACATGTTTTCTGAAGCTTGACAAGACTTGTTAGCTTTTGCATTCTTTCAGAACTTAGCTTCACGTCTTGATTCAGAACATGCTTGCATATCTTCTAAACAACGCTTGCTTGCTAAGTACTTCTGATCAGCGCTTGCTTTCAAAGAACTTCTGAAACATAGCTTACACAGAAACTTTCTAAGTGTTAGAAGATGTATTTAAATAATTATCTTACCAGAGTCAGCATCAGCACTTACGCTAAAACAAATAGTTCTTTCATTAAAGAACTTCTTCATTTATTTCCAGCTCAGCACATCAAAATGCTTCTGTCATAACATTATCTGAAACAGTTAAATACTTTTATCAGAGTATCAATTATATAAAATATAATTTATTGTTATCATCAAAACTCTGAGATATGATCAGAACCAATCTTGTTCTAACAATCTCCCCCTTTTTGATGATGACAAAAAAATATTCAGATAAGAAATAAAATTTAATCAGAGATAGGAATCTCCCCCTGAAATAAATATTTCTCTAAGAAAAACTTCCTGAGAATTTTCATCAGAGCTTTGAAATTTTCTTCTGAGATTTCTTCAACAAGTCTTTTGAAGATGATGTTCATTTGAAATTAAACTTCCAGAGTTTAAATGATACCTGCAAAGTTCTTTAAAGCATAGAAAGAAATCTTGTATTTTGTTAGAATGTTTGACACTTAGTTCCATAACTGTTAATCAGAGATTAGATCAAAATACTCACTTTCTCCCCCTTTTTGGCATAATCAAAAAGTATATAAAAATAGTTGAAGAGCGTAAAATTTTTTTAATAAAAGATTTAGAGGTTTAACAAAACAACAAACAAAAACAAGAAACAAAATGACACTAAGGTTTCTTAGAAACAAAGGCCATAAGAAGATTCTTGATCTCAGATGCAGATTCATCTTGTTTCATCATCCAACTTCTGATTTCTTGGTTTGTCTGATCTTGCTTATCCAAGCGCTCATGAATAGCTTCATTATCCCTCTTAAGTTCATTCAGAGTATTCATTACAAGTGAAGTAGGATCAGAGGATGAAGAAGCTTCAGCAGATATAGCCTTTGGAGTAGCAACCGTTGAGTTAGAACGAACAAAATTTGAAAGAAGAGTGCCCAAATCCATCATGAGAGTTGGCACAGGTTCAGGCGCAGCTTTTGCAGAAGGTTAATTCAATAGAACTATTTCCAGAGGATTTGAATCTTCAGAGGTATCTTCAGATTCATCTTCTGAAATGTCCATTTGATCAGCTGGAGCATTAGCAATCATCAGAGAAGACTTCTTGTCCCAAATATCAGCAGCTTCTGACTGAAAGGCATGCAGATGTTTGGAGAAGTTCTCAATCACCTGAGAGTGACATAAGTCTTGTAGCTTCTGTGACTCAGCATCTAAAGTTCTTCTGAACGTTTCCCACAGAAGATATGTTGCTGCTGGGTTCACATTTCTGGTGCAATCTGCCTTCAGCAGGTCCAACCAAGCTTGAACTTCTGTTAAAAAATTCTGAAAAAAATATATTTACATCTGGCTGAACAGGTTTTGGAACAGCCTTTTTTAAGGTTTTATTTTTCAGAAATTGTAGATTCAAAATCAACTACAGTTTTTAGAAAGTCAGCTGGTTCAGGATTTTCTGATTGTTCATGTGTTGCTGATTGGTCAGGTTGTTCAAAAGGTTCAGGTGTTTCTAATGGATTGAGAGTTTCAGAGGGTTCAAGTGTTGGTGATGGTTCAGATGGTTCATGAGTTTGGTGTTCTGGAATGTGAGAAGGTGAAATCACTGGTGAGTTAGGAGTTGGAAGTTGTGGAGATGTGGGTGGTGTGACGTCGGGTGAAATGATTATGGTTTTGTCCGTAGTGGGGGTAGGATTTTGTGGTTGTGTTCTGTTTAAGGCAAATATATTTTCAGAAGGTAGATTGAATGGTGGCTTTAGAGTGGCCAGAGGTTCGTTGATTCCTGGTATTCTCCAAGAGCCAGCATCATACCATCCAGTGGGTCTGAGTGATAAAGGTCTAGGAGGAGGTCTAGAAAGGTTTTCAGCAGGTGTTTGAGATGGTTCTGATTGGGATGGTTTTGTTGGGTTTCAGAAAAATCATCAGAGTCAAAATCACTCAAGTCTGATAAAACTTGATCTCTTTGAGGATATTCAGCAAGAGGGTCAGAGGGTATGGTCAGGTCTATATCAA